GTTGAAGCTGATAGCCAAACCAAATCCTTAAGGAAAATTTTAATGAAATTCTCTTTTCCTTTAAAAGAAAAAGAAAGCATTCTTTTCAGGTACTCCAAGCACACGGGAGTACCACCTGCTTTTGTAACCACTCACTCATTCAGTCACAATTATCTACTGAGCATTTATTCTGTGCCAGGCATGGTACTGTCTTTTAGGGAAAATGTACACACATACATATATACACACCCATAATTATATCATAAAATTAACCTCATGGAACAAGGGAAAACTGTTAGCATAGAACTATGTCCACACTCTCATACACCCCCACCAATTCTAGCTTCTAAGGGGATTTCTGGTTCTGTCTGGTTGGCTGCAGGGTTTGTTTTTTTTAATGTCAATCCTGGAATAGGTAGAGCTGAATAACTGAAAGGAGCTATGACTGGCTAGATTTATTTACCTAGGAAGAATCTGATGCTACTAAAAGAACATAACATTCTCCAAAACGGAAGGGGAGGATGAGGAGAGAAAAGAATCAACATTAATGAGAAAACAGGAGTGAGAGAACAGATTTTACATGAGCTACTGCTGCGAACAGGGACACTTTGGGCAAAGGTGGATAAAGCTCAAACTCTACATTTGAACATTTCTTAAGTTTCCACTGGTGTGATCTTCAACAGACTTTGATGGAATTTTAAATTTCTTTTCATTTTTAAAAAAAATTTGGATTAATGAGTCTTTTAAGAATGGCCCAGAAGTAGGCCCATTACATTAGAGTGACATTCACAATGTCAAATTGTGTTATTACATAGTTGTGACCCTCCATGAAAAAACAATATTGAATTTCCAATCCCACAAACCTATTATACTTTAACCATCTATCCCAACCCTAAATCCTGATCCACTATCGTTATTAGCCATTAATGCTAACCTAATTCTCTGAAGATTCTTCCAAAAAATGTTCTGTGGTACAAGAATTTCCTGAACTCAGCGCTTCTGGGATCTCTTTACCCACAATGCTTTTCTAAATAAAAGTATGCATCTAACCTTGTCAGTTTGTTACCTCTCCCAAGATGAAAATGATAACTGAAGAGAAACCAGTAAGTAGACAACTTCTAAGAATTTTTTATTGAATAGACTACTTGTTCACATTGGCAAATTGCGTTGGTTTAATACTGTTCTATAAAAATAAAAAATTAATGATATTTATGAAAATGTGACCTTCCTATAACACGAGTGAGGCAGAGCCACACCATATAGCACCTATGTAGTACCCAATAACGGTAATGATGAACTGGTATCAGATCAATGACTGAGCCTATCATTTGTAAAATTAGGAAACACTGACTGACTTCACATTTCTGAAATTTTAAAACCATCACAGAGGCAAACTACCACTACAGTCTCTTTCTTACGTGGTAGGAAACCAGGTACAGAGGAAATCAATTACCCAAAGTTTAACAGGAAGAAATCCTTCCAGTTTAGTAAGATCAGCTTAATAAGTAAACTAATTAACTTTCCATTTTTAAGACCAAAATCAGCTCAAATCAGATGGCGTTTTGAATATCACCCAAGAACAGACAGCGTCTCTTAAACTAGCTTCTCTCAAAGTACGATCAAGGGAGGATTTCAGAGCCTCCAGATGGTCTAAGGCTGCCCTCAAAACACAGGGTTTAGATGTGTAAGTGCCAGGGAGTCCTCATCAAACAAAGGAGGAAGAAATTGAGGGGACAGGGTTCACTTGAGGTCATCAGACTACTAGAAAGTCAGCAATCCTACCTCAAACTGCCTAACATGTAAACTGGTACCACTGGTGTAGATAACAATAGATTCAGAATCCCTATTCTAAATAGTCCAGCTCTAGATGAGAAATTAGGGGAACGCCACAATTTTCCCAACTTTCAATCCCACACCAGTGTTCTGTATAACTCAGAGCAACTAAAGAATCTTGTGTACCAGCACGTCACCTTGTTTGACACTAAATCACATGGCTTAAGTATAAAGATTCAAATGAGAATTTTCAATATAAATGCTTCCACTATCGAAGTATGAAAACACATGTGAAAATGTGCCACATACTGTTACTGTGGGGAGAAGTCTTTACCCACTGCATCATTACCTTGGGTCTGACAACAGTTCTAAGCATAACATTTTTAAAGCGCTTGGTGATTTAATATTTAAATTGCTTCCTGAGTAGTCCATGTTGAATACTGAACTTAATTTCTCTAAAATTTTCATCCAGTGGCTGTCACCTTTCATGTAGGTCAAACTACAAATTTTTATAAGAAGTGACTCCTTCCAAAGCAGTTCCATAATTCAAGTTAGATGTAAGAAATGGGAGTTTACAATAAATTTTTCATAATGCTAACAATCGGAGCTCATAATTCTTTTCATTTTATGTCATCTTTTATATATTTTTCTCAGATTCTGGAAGGTTACCTGCTATTTCAAGGAATCAGAAGTAATACAAGAAATGCTTTAGATATATCTAACCCACTGGTAGAACTATACAGAAGTCAACTTTTCAATTCAAATTCCCCTTGAAGTTACTCCACAGAGATTTAAACAGAAATAAAAACAGAAATTTCTTGACAACCATTTTCTCAAAACTGTAAGAGCCTATTTCTACCTTTGGTGCATTCTCCCATTGTACTGGCCACTACTATAATGGTTATTTACCTAGCATCCATTTCCCTTTTCTCCCTTCATAATGGACCCAGCTTTGTTCCACCCGATATCCACTCTTCCCCTCATTCCACATTGCAAGTCCTAGGAATGGGCCTTAGTTCATTCACTCCAACTTTACCATTGACTGGTTCAAGAACTTAACACAGTCAGGACATGGTACCCTCCTGGAAACTGTTATGCTGGGCACTCAACAGCTGTTCATCCTCATCCCCTCCCCATCTTATGGAAACAGTGTCAGTGGCCTACCCATGGCCCACTGAATAAAGCCCAAAGTCAGTATTCAACGTTCTCTACCATCCTTTTACTACCTTTTTAGCCCTTTCTGCCTCGCATATACATCTCCTGCTCCAGCAGCTACAAGCCTGGCCTTTCCAGAATATGCCCCTGCACTTTCCACTTCATATCCTACAGCCAGGCTGTTCCTTTGGCTAGGAAAGCCAAACACTCTCATCTCAGCCAATTCAAATTCTACTCATTCAAAGTCCAGATCAAAAGGAAACTTTTCCACGAACTCTCCCTTGATACCACCAACAAAAAATGGCACTCATCATATACTCCTTGTATCATAAATCACTTGTGCATGCTTACAGTTTGTTTTAAAACTGCGAACTCCTTACAGGCTGTGGACAAACTCTCGTGCATCTTTGTCTTCCACCACCATCCTGCCCCACCAGACACCCAAGTGCCCAGAGTGGGAGCTCAGTAAACACTTGCTGAACAAATGAACACATTTTTTGAGGGTGAAAAGTGCCTCTACAGAATAGATTACCACGAAGGCTGAAATGTCCTTGGAAGTCTTTAAAAACATCCTAGTATGGTTTAGGAATAGTTCTGCTGAAGGAAAAGAAACACATCAGATGACCTTGTAAGGCTGATTCTGCAAATTTCATCAACTCTTTAAAAGTATTGCCTAACAATTCAAAAACAAACCATACACAAATGCTATTTACAAGAAGAGGGTGGCATTTATTGTAATATACAAAGGTTAACAACCCAATTTTTTACCAAAAATTTCAGTTGTTCTTATAGTAATATTTATAATAATTTCAGTTATGTCCAAGGGATTATTTAAAAGCCCATTTACTCTATCTTATTTCATACCTAAAGGAAGGACGGAGAAAAATGTTGGCCCTCTCAAAGCAGTAACCAGACAAAATTAATTTAGAAGCACAAGTTTACATAATGCACATACTGATGTCACTTTATTATCTACACATCATCACTAAATATATACCTAATGAAGTCCAGAGAAGTTATCTGTAATTTTGATTATTTCCTTCTATTACTCCTATGGATCCCTTAAATTGAATTTGTACAATTTAAGTCGGCTAAAATTAGGTTACTTCAAGATCTATGGGTACACTATCAGTGAAACTAAAATTATGGGAAACATACTGATCTCCAGAAAGAAACTGTATTAACCACAATACTCCATAAATCAGTTAACCTGTTTTTTAAATAAAAGCCTTCAGAATGAATCTCAGTAAATCTCAACAATCAATTAAATGGAACAGAAAACTTGATTCCATAGGACAGGACACACAAAAAGAAAGGGCAGTGTATAAAATGAAAATCAGGATCTAAATATGACGACTATTCATAGAAAATAAAATATAAGAAAGATTAAGTAGAAATTAGAAAATTAAACTTAAATAGATTTTTTTAAAGACAGTTAATAAGAAAATTAAACATGTTTATTTCTTTTGTTCTTATGTTGCTATGTTCTATGTATTTTTGTAAGTCGATTTAAATCCCTTGGGTAAGAAACTAGACTATTAAAAAAATAATAAATTCTTGTTTTCTAATCTAGTGTAGCACACCGTTGTTATTTTTTAAAATAAAGACCACATTTTCCGTCATAACCTACATATGCTCGTTAAAGATTTGGGGAAAGCTACAATTTAAAGTTTTCCAAATTATTTTAAAAGCATCTCCAGTTTTCCTGCAGCCGCCTGACATTGGAAACGATTCTAAATCCCGTTTCTCCCTGGACCCAGTAAGTAAGGGAGTTCGTTGTCTAAAAGGGGCAAAGAGCGGGGTCGGAGTCAGAGCCGTGTTCAGGACCGGCGGTAACCGGGTGGCGGGTGTAGTTACCTCTGGATCGGAACACCTGAGCAGTGCGGGGACCGCGGACCGAGGCAGGGGGCGCCGCCTGGGCAGCAGCCGCCGCGTGGGCGCGGGAGCCTCGGCCGACAGCAACGAATATGGCCCCCGAGAAAGTTGGGCTCCAAGACCGGCCCTGGCGAGAAAGCTGTCTGCGTCGCGGAAAGCCTCCCCCGGCCCACCGGCCCCGCCAGGCCCCACCGGGAGGGGAGGGGAGGGCTACTCACCGTGCAGAGAGAGGAGCAGCAAAGGCGCCAGAGGGGAGCCCCGACAAGTCATTCCGGGGCCGCGGGGAGCGCGCCCGCCGCCCGCCCGGCTCCTCGTCGCGGCAGCGGAGGAGCGGGCCGGGCTCTCTGAGCTCTCGGGGCAGTCCGGACCTCCCAGACCCGCCGCCCGGCCGCAGTCCGCCCGGCGGGGCTGGGACGGTGGGAGCCGCAAACGAGGCAAGTGCGGCACCCGCGCCCTCCGGCTCCGCGGAGGCTGAGCTGCGACCAGGTGCGTCCCGGGCTCGCCGGCCTTGCCCCGCGGCTCCACGGCCACCTCGCGCTGCCCCAGGACCCGCCGGCCCCTCGCGCCGCCCGGGGATCCACTCCCCGCAACTCTCGCCCGGCTACTTGGGCGGCAGCCCGGCTGCGGCTCGGCTCCGCGCCGCCCACTCGCCCCGCTTGGTCTCCCCGGCAACCGCGGCTCCAGCGCGACGCCTAGCGGCCCACCAGCTGAGCGAGCGCGGCGCGCAGCTGGCGCGGCCCTGGCCACCTGTGCGCGGGGCCGCCCGCTCCCAGCACACCTCCACGAGCGCTGGGAACCGAAGGCGGGCATCCTCCTCGTCCGCAGCCAGGGCCCTCCCCTGCCCTGAACCACTCCCCAGACCGGCGGTGACAGTCCTGAGCGCCAGAGATCTCCACAAGGCAGTTCACCACAGCTTGCGTCCGAACAGGCAAGATTCTTTTCTATCGCAGTTTTCAGATGATTTCTATTTGGCCGTTTCACTTTCTCTCAATCCTTTCTTCTGGACCCTAAGTAACCCAGAAGAACCTGACTCTAGCAAAATTGAGAATCGATGAGGTTTGTCCTATACCTTTTATTTTTCCGACTACCGTTTCTTCCTTGAAAAGAGCGTAGGGGCTGTAGCATGCCCCTAACTCCCAATTCCTATCAAAGACCACCCTCTCTTGCCCCTTTAGTAAAACTTACAACAACTTACAATATTTAAAATTTTTTCTTTTAAACCTTATCCCTTTCTTAAACTAATTTCAAGTATTTGTTAACTAGTAATGCTTTTATTTTAATGTTAACTAGAGATGCTTTTATTGTGGTGATTGATTACTTTGGTTGGGTTTCTATTTTTTGTTTCTTGCTTGTTTTGGTTGGATGGGAAGAGAGACCTTCATGGCATCTGAAATTATTTTACTTAAATACCTACCTACATCTTTCCTTATAAAACCTAATCTTCATTCCTTTTCCCATGAGGTTGCTGCTCCCTTTCTTTTTTTTTTTTTTTTTTTTTTTTTTGCGGTACACGGGCCTCTCACTGCCGTGGCCTCTCCCGTTGCGGAGCACAGGCTCCGGACGCGCAGGCTCAGCGGCCATGGCTCACGGGCCCAGCCGCTCCGCGGCATGTTGGATCCTCCCGGACCGGGGCACGAACCCGTGTCCGCTGCATCGGCAGGCGGACTCTCAACCACTGCACCACCAGGGAAGCCCCCTGCTCCCTTTCTTAAAGCCCATAGTCCCATTCTACTTCAGCCTCCCACCCAGTCCTTCTAGATTTGAGGACATATCTCCCCCGGTAATGTCAGACCATTCTGGTCAATTTCTACAGCAGCATAGATTAGAATTCTTGGAGCCATTCAGAAATTCTGAGCCCCCATCTGGCAGATACAATCCTCCCAGGGCAACTCAGAAATGAAAATGGCACGCACAGGAGAAAGACAAATATATAAAACATCTATACATTTGGACAAAGATTGGGAGACATAGGTAAAAATTAAATTAGTATCAGGATGATGGAATTATGGATGCACTTTTTCTTTTTTGAAAATGTTGCTGTTATAATTTGAAGTTAAAAAAGAAACCACATTAAGAAACATCAACCACCTTTAACAACAATACCCTGAAAAGATAGTTTGATTATGAATTTAAATGCTTCAACTTTGCTGACTACTTCCAATTTGCTAGAATCCCTTACCAGATCTCTAATGGCAAGAAAAGAGTGATATGACAGTATAGAATTTTTGATATTAACAAAAGTTTAATATTTCAAGTATTTCATCACTGGGATCATTCTCATTCTTTTAAATTCCAGAGTAAGGACTAAATATTCTTTTTCTCCAACCAATTCAGTTCCTTCCTTTGTCTTGTACATATTCCTGCTTTCTAACCCAGCCACAAGCAGGGTATAAAAGCAAGTAATATAAGGAGAAAAGCAAGGTGTTACTCCAAGCAGGACTTTGCTTCACTATAATCCCAGATTTAAATAGATAGAATATTGGTTCTATAATTAAATAAATAACCTAATAATCTAGGCTTAAAAGCCTTCATAAAGCAAGTTACCTGATATACTTCTTAGCAAATCAATTCAGCAAATATTTACTGAGTATCTACACTGTGTAAGGCACTGGGTTGAAGGTTAAACATAAAACATCAGTGTATGATCCTCACCCTTAAATAGCTTCCAATTACACTTGGGATATATCTACAATGTTATGAATCAGCAGAGAAAGAGAGCTGTCCTGCCTCTTTGTCACCATAGTGTACTTCTGCCTTGCCGGACAGGAGCTAGTGAGTTATTAAGAGGACAGAGTGCTCACAGTTTGGTGGAGCAGTCCTTCTAATTGAAAAAGAAGTGTGGCTTCTGAAGGGAGACTGGGGATGATCAGATTTCAGGAGGCAATCTGGCTGCCCAGAAGCATGCGGGCAGATGGTAGATGGCTGACTCAAAGGAAGCAGATCGGAGTACTGGAAACTCCAAGCGCTGTACACAGAGGCACCCAAAAGGACGCTCTCACAGGAAACAGAGAAAAACTGTGCTATTTAATTCACAGAGCTAATACCTCAGGCATGTACTCTGAGTACAATTTTTATTAGTAATGAGTTTTACCAACTCTTTTATCCTAATCTGCCTTCTGACCACAGTAGGCTTTCTTTAAATCTCAATTATTCTGAGTGCTAAAGCAACAGACAACATCTTTCATTTGTATAATACTTTATAAATGTCAAAGTGCTTTCACATATATTGTCTGATTTGATCTTCACAGCAACCCTAGGGGGTAAGTAAGGCAAATAGTATTACCCCCTCCTCACTCACTAAGACACTGAGTCTCAAAAAGATCAATGAACATCTCAGGGATTGCAAATACCCATGGGCAGAACTGGAACCAACCCAACAGTTTTTTCAACCACACCACAAAGTCTTTCTTTTATCTCTTTATAGACCAACATCTAAAGAAATTTATATCCACCATAGTGTCTTAAAGCTATCTGTGGGGAACACTGCAATTGCCTCCCCAACATTAATCCCACCTCCACCCCATCAGCATCCCACCACCACCACATCCCACCAGCACATGAGTAGCTGTAAAAAAATTTTTTTTTTAGAAGATGTTGGCGGTAGGAGTTTATTAATTAATTTATTTATTTTTGCTGTGTTGGGTCTTGTTTCTGTGCGAGGGCTTTCTCTAGTTGTGGCAAGCGGGGGCCACTCTTCATCGCGGTGCGTGAGCCTCTCACTATTACGGCCTCTCTTGTTGCGGAGCACAGGCTCCAGAAGTGCAGGCTTAGTAGTTGTGGCGCATGCCTAGTTGCTCCACGGCATGTGGGATCTTCCCAGACCAGGGCTCGAACCCGTGTCCACTGCATTAGCAGGCAGATTCTCAACCACTGCGCCACCAGGGAAGCCCGTAGCTGTATAATTTGAATGAGACGAGCCCCACTCTCGCCTCTGAGGAGGCTATAGTTGTCTTACCTGACCAAGGAAGAAATGGAGCGGGGAAGGACTGGGACAAGGGACTCTGTTATAGTGAATAATAATTTTGGATCAAAAACACTGATGACCTGACAATACAGTCAACTTCTCAATATTTAAATAGGAATTATCCAAATTCAAATTTTAGTCCTAGACCAGCTTCTCTCCTCCACCCATCAAAATGCTGGACCCATCTCTTTCCACAGTCAGTTACTCTGCATTCAAGAATGGAAAATTAAATTCATGATTAGCTCAGGAGAAACATAATTAGGAAAGAAAAACTGTGGATGGAATCATAAGGCTTTCCAAAGCTAAATATAAATTATTTTAATTAGCTATTTTAAATTATTAATACCACCTATCCCTCTCCATTCGTGTATATAATTAAAGGTTAATTTATGTTTTTGAGAATGTTTGTCTATGGAATGTTTTATAAGAACATCATTCATAAAGTTAGAAAATATCTTTTTGATCCTTGTTTGAGCCAGTAACTCATTCTGTAACTATTTTAACCTCGCTGCTTAGAACCATATATAGTCTAGAGCAGAGCCTGGTCCTTTTTCTTTTTGATTTAAAATAAAAATTTTACTGGAGTGTAGATGATTTACAATGTTGTGTTAGTTTCTGCTATATAGTAAAGTGAATCAGTTATACATATACATATATCCAGTCTTTTTAAAATTTTTTTCCCATATAGGCCATTACAGAGTACTGAGAAGAGTTCCTTGTGCTATACAGTAGGTCCTTATCTATTTTATATATAGTGGTGTGTATATGTCAGTTCCAATATCCCAATTTATCCCCCCCACCACTTTCCCCTCTGATAACCATAAGTTTGTTTCTACATCTGTGATTCTATTTCTGTTTTGTAAATAAGAAATAAATATTTATTTCTTTAATATGTAAATATTTGTACTCTTTTTTTAGATACCACATATAAGCAATATCATATGATATTTGTCTTTCTCTGACTTACTTCACTCAGTATGAGAATATCTAGATCAATCCATGTTGCTGCAAATGGCATTATTTTTTTTTTTTTTTTATGAGCCTGATCCTTTTAAAAGTAGAACTTGAGAGGAATTCTTCCCTCTTCCGCTTTGTGCAGAGGCAATAAGGTCTCTAAAATAATAATAAAGGAGTAGAAAAGATAATAGTGGAATCATTAGAATAAAGCAACAAGCAAACTAATAAGTGTATATTGTATGTTAAGACATAAATAGATCATTTAATATTTTAAAACATCCTTCTCAAATTTTGGATCAATTTGTAACCTAGATATATCGACAGCTTAGTCTTTCTTATATCTGTTTCTGCCTATTCCTCTGGTAACTCTTGCTAGACAAGATTTATGCAAAGGTAAACAGCATCTCCATCCCCTTCACCATAGCCCAGTCCCTGTCACCATTGTGAATATTGCTGAAGTGAAGTTTCACATCTTCATTCATTTGGGGAGAAGTTAGCTCTTTTCCTTGAAACCATGTCATTATGAACACATTTAGTTTTAGGCAAGGTTATTCTCTGAGCAGGGCCCAGTGTAACTAAGTGCTTTTGAATTTATTCTAATGGAAAATGTAAAATGGCACCCCTTTGTTTTTTAGGACTTGAAAAGAGCAACAGCATAAGAAGC